TGGGTGGATAGGTGGGTGGGTGGCTGGGTGGATGGATGAGTAGATAGATGGATAGATGGATGGATGGCAAAGCTGAATATCAATATGGGACTATTTAGCTCTGGGAGACCTCTCTACAGTTTTAGATGACTCTGTGCTTGTACGCTTGTGCATAAGGGCCTCACTGCTCTAACAACAACCCGGTGGTTACTGACCTACCATTAGCAGGGCTTTGAGTTGTTTCTCCAGTCCTGGGAGTGATAGCTGCAACTTTCCAGCCATACTCTTTTACCAAGTGCTGCTTGTCCCCACAGGTCTCTATAAAATAGTTGGGGATTAGGGATCCAGCCAGGGGGTGTTGGTGGTGGAGTTTAAGGAACCAAGGGTGGGCGTGGGGTGCACTGAGCTGAACTGAACGAAACCAAGTGGTCCGTATCGCATTTAGCCCCATATGTCTTAATATCATCAGCACCACTTTCTAGCCTCGTCTGCTGAGGGGCTGCCAACAAGAATATGCTCTGTAGGGGATCTGGGTCAGTAAGAATGAGTGGGTGAAAAAGGAAGGAGGAGAAACCAAGACATGACAACCTTTAAGGAAGCAAAAATAAAACTCTAATGTGGAAACTGCTGAAAATAGACTGCATGGGCTGTCAGTCTACCTGCAAATCCAGTGCTAATTGCATGTAAATTAATTGCACACTTTAACTTCTGTATGCCTTGATCTGACCCTTGGTGGGAAATCCTACAGTAGGGAGCTCCCCTACAACCCTGAGGGGTGAGTGGGGCACAGGCAGATGCTGATGTCGCCTCCCTCACGCTCAGCCCTTGCCACTGTAGTGAGAAGCACTGATAGCAAGCTAAAAACACTAACAATAGAAATTTGATTTCTCTTCCAGACAAAAAGCCTTGGCTTCCACAGGAGGAAGAAGCGTTCAGGCAGCATGTGACTGGTTGGTATGAAATAAATAAATTAAGAAAATAGCATGTAATTAACTCTGAGTGCATGTGGATGAGCTGGGGTGTGCAGTGTTTCTCTAATGAACCCTTCCAGGGGAGAGATGAGCCAAAAGACTATGTGACAAACCCATTTATCAAGTCAGTTGCCCCCCTTCCTCTGCCCTAGCCCCTGGGTATCTTTATCCTTGAAGCTGTTTAAAAGAATTCAAAGTATTTCAAAGATAGAACCCCTATAGTACTATCTGCCCTCCTCCAGTCACTTAAAGATACACTTTAGGTATGAGGATGCTGAGCAAATCAATTTGGAAAAATTTACTGACCTTCTGTGATATCATGACCTAAGGCAGACCCCACAAGGCCTTCCAAAAGCTTCCTTTATCTTTGGAGGCACATGGGTTTAACCACAGACTGAACTGAAGAGACAGGATCAAGTTGGAATTGTACTGGTGGGTTGAGAAAGGATTTGGAGTTTGTCCGAGAATGTCCCATAGAGAGGCGGCATTTGAATTTTGGGGTTTTGTGGGATGAGGATACAATACAGCAGGCAGGAGAAGAGAGATCGATGCATTGGAGAGTTGGTTATGAAATGTGAGCTTCCAGGGGTAGATTTTTAAAGCACAAATGAAAACCCTTCTCCTTGCAGTGCCCGGGTTGTGAAGCATATGGAGGGTGGATCTGTCTCTTTCAGTTCTTCCTTGCTTCCCATTATTCTCAAGTGTGGCTTCCTTGGCTACCTTCTGTCTTGCAGGTTATTCTCCCACGTCGGCGACCCCTTCCTGGATGACCCCCTGCCCCGGGAATACGTCCTCTACCTCCGCCCCACTGGCCCCTTAGCACAAAAGCTTTCTGACTTTTGGCAGCAGTCGAAGCAGATCTGCGGGAAGAACAAGGCACACAACATCTTCCCCCACATCACCCTCTGCCAGTTCTTTATGGTGAGCTGCAGTCCCCCGGTCCCCTGGGGAGCCTGGTTCCCAGTGCCCCAGCCAGCCCCTTGAGACCTGGAGTTCAAGTCAGGAGCCTCTCAGAAAGATGGCAGGAATAGTCACAGGCTCCTAGAGGTGGGGAGGGCCTGCGTGGTGTGAATGGTTAACACACTTGGCTATTAACTGAAAGGTTGGAGGCACCTCGAAAGAAAGGCCTGGTGATCGACTTCTGAAAAATCAGCCATTGAAAACCCTGTGGAGCACAGTTCCAATCTGACACACATGGGGTCACCATGACTCAGGGTCCACTCTACAAACTGGTCCTAGATCTGGACAGACCTTTAAAGGATCACTGAGGTCCACAGCGAGGTTCTCCCCCCAGATCCTGTTTCTCACTACCTGCTGAGGCCCCAGGAGCATGGCTATCCTGGTTTGATGTAGCATTCGTGATGATGGCATGTTACTCAGGACTCTGAGTTAAGACTGACCACTGTGGGTGGATTCACTGATCTAGCCCCACCCTTGCCCATTGTCTACCCTTTCCATTCTTATGATAAGGAAAGAGTGAAAACAGAGGGAGCTGGGAAAAGAAATGTAGTCTATAGACACTGACAGCTATTGGAATTTTGTGGAACTCTGTCCACAGAATTTTTCCCCCTAGATCTTTCTAAACCAGGAGCCATTGAGTTGACTCTGACTCATGGCAACTCCATGTAGACCCCATGTATGGAGTAGAACTGTGCTCCATAGAGTTTTCAATGGCTGATTTTTTTAAAGTAGATCTCCAGGCCTTTCTTCCAAGGCACCTCTGGGTGGACTAGAACTTCCAACCTTTTGGTTAGCAGCTGAGCCTGTTAACCGTTTACGCCACTCAGGGACTCCTTGATCTTTCTAGAGACAGCAAAGATACTTTTTACCTGCCACTTCTTAGGTGAGGCCTTCTCTGACCCCTCAGACTAGGTTAGGTCTCCCCACCCTGTGTGCTGGTGGTTCCCTGTGTTTTCCCTTCCTTGGACTTACCATGAATGTAATCCTAGCTGTCAGAAAGCTAATTTAATGAACAAATCAAATCCCTCTCACTATAATATACACACATTTCATCTATGTTAAATCTCTTTAGAAATGAGGAAGAGTTTATTTATCTGGTATATTCAAGGTGAGACAGAACAGTAGCATTTTAAGGCACTTTAATATACTGGTTTGTTTTTCCCAGAATCTCATTCTCTCTCTTTTTTTTTTTTTTTTCTTTTTTGGGTGGAGGTGGCAGCACAGGGTTAGGTGACAGCACAGGGTGGGGTGGGTAGGTAAAAACATGTTCCTAATACCTTTTCTTTTACCATTCACTCTGAAAATTAAAGTGATTGTCATTTCCTCTTAGTCATCCCAGGATCTTTCTCAAAAACATTCAGAGTTTTAGAGACACTCATTCTTTCTTCCAGTACTCTGCAGAGGGTAGGAGGAGGATGTCACAAGCTCATTCTTCCTAACTATAATGAGGGTGGAAGTAGAGTCAACTTCTGATCATCTAAAAGGAACAGAAGAGGCATAGATGATGCAAAACAGTTGAAAGTACACAAAGATTGCTTTTGTATTGCTGTCACTCTCTCCTGACACATGCCTCCAACCTAACCTTCTGCTAGACCAGTCCTACTCTCTTCATGCTGGGCTCAGAGGGGCCACATCATAGCAGGGAGGGAAGGAAGAGGTCGTCCATCCCCCCAGTTTAATTCACCAGCTGGATAATCCAGTTGTGGATAATTGGGAGTCTGCTGTTCCTCTCCCTCCTCCTAGACAGGAGTGACGAGTAAGTAATTGCATCATCAGCCTCAAATCCCTGGGGAGAGGATGTCGCATGTCAAGTGACAGCAGACATCCAGCTCCCCCGTTCTGAACAAAGCCTGCTTGTTTGCCCCTGCCAGTGTGAGGACAGCAAGGTGGAAGCCCTGGGAGAAGCCCTGCAGACCACTGTCAGTCGGTGGAAATGTAAATTCTCAGCCCCACTGCCCCTGGAGCTCTATACCTCCTCCAACTTCATCGGCCTCTTCGTGAAGGAAGACAGCGCTGAGGTCCTCAAGAAGTTTGCTGCAGACTTTGCTGCGGAGGCTGCATCCAAAACCGGTGAGCGAACACAGCTGCCAGGCCAGCCCTGGGCCCTGTGAGACAGTCAGAGAGCTTGGAGGGAAAGGGATGGGAAATCATTGTGGAGGGATAGAGGGTCCTGTAGGAGTGGCAGAGCATGACAAAGCTCATCTACTTCCTGCAGCACCTCCGTCTTCTGTGCTCTCTTTTAAAAACATTAAACTGTTGTTCTGCTAACCTTCTGGAGGGAACATTCAGTGCTTGCTCCTTAGCATTCAGGTTGAAGGTACACAGATTACTGCTCCACATCTGAACTCTAAATGTATTCCTTTGTAGCACCACAATCTCCTCCCAGCTCAGAATTAAGGAAACTTCCTTTCTGTTTCCCAAACTCCATCCCAGGCAGGCATTGACCTGTGTCTTATGATTCACTCCATGAGGAACAAGGGCTTTACTCAAGGTGTAGCACAGAACAGGAAGTAGAGTGGAACCACTTAGTATTACATAATAATACTAAGCCAACTCCCTTCAACTTGCTGAAACCCATTAGGCCCCTAAACCTCAAAAGTCTATCCAAAATGTAGCCCCTCAAGATGATTTCTACTCATGGTAGCTCTAGTTTCCAGCCAACAGATTTACTGTCAGTGCAGTTGGCCTAAAGAGGTGCTCATTATGTATGTTGACTCGGAGCAGGAGGCATGGGGAAGGGACAAGACGAAGAAGTTTACAAAGCTGTCCTGTCAGACACAGGTGCAGACAAGCTTACTTAGCTTAATGAGAGCCTTCCCTTCAGGGACAGACATAACGGATGGGTCAGAGCCTACATTGGCTTCCTCAAGAATGAAATCACAGTCAGCAGGTATTTACTGGACACCTACTATGTGTTTATTTGTGAGGAATGCCACAGAAAATAAGAAGTGGTTTCTCTTGGCAGAGATGGCACAGTCTGGCTGGGAAGCCTGATTCAGGCTCTGTGTAATAAGAGTAATAACTGCCCTCTGAGAGGAGAGAGGCCATCCAGGGTGGAGTGGCTCCGTCTTCATAGAAGTAATGAAACTCACACTGGGAAGACATTGACAAGTAAAATGGAGGAAGGGCTCTCTAGGTGGGGGGACATTGTGAGCAAAGGAGGGAACGAGCAGGGTGTGTGCAGAGGACAGAACAAGGACCGCCATGAGAGAAGAGGACCATGGAATCTGAGTATTGAACATAAAACTGGGAGAGACCCAGAGCTTGTCGATCCTCACATCACATCAGGGGTCAGAGAGGGGAAAAGACTTGAGTAAAGCCACACAGTCTGTCCCTTAGTCTCCTGACCTTTCGCCTGTACCTCACCTGCCATTTTGCCTTGCTTGCTGATTTCATCACTAGTGCTTCTTTACCAGAAAAGCCCCAAACAGGGATCAGCACCCTAGGAAGGGTCTGGTCAGGGCCCGTCATCACTGAGCAGGATCACAGGGAGGTCTCCACTCTTGTAAGAAACACCAGGCCCTGAAGACACCTTTGGTACTTTGGAAATGGGGTCTCCTCAGGCTCCATTCCAGCCACCTCTTCTTCCCCAGGACTAGTCCCTGATTACTGACTTGGGTGGAGCCCAACATTTCACAGGAACTTAATATTTTGGAGAAAGAGCACAATGGAGAGGCAAATGATCCTATCCTTCTACCTCAGGTTGCACCTCAAAGAAATGGCTTTTTTTCATCCTACAGTAGCTATTGCCAGAACCATTAAAAATGCCCATGAGAATCAGGATTAATGTTGCAGCCACAAAACTCAAATTCTTCACGAATGAGTAAAGTGGTCTCAGCCAGGACTGCAGCCAATTCTTGAAGTGCATATTGCTTTCCTTGTAGGAAGAGGGAAGAGCCACTTCCTCTGCAAGAATCCAAGATCCCTCTCTAAGAACTTGATCAGCTACCTTTCTCTGCCCTTGTGTGGCCCCCTGGTGGTGATTTGAAGAACTGGATGGCCCTGCTCAGGGAAGCTGGCCCAGCCCAGAAAACCTTATTTATAAGCAGCTCCTTATAATGTAAATTTAGAAAGCAGATGATCACGCCTTTACCCTAGAACTTACACCTTGGGATACTTAACTTTTTGGCAGACCCAATTCCTTCAGCAGGTAGATTTAGTGCCATCTCCATTCTAGGTGGTTTAGGGAGACTCATTCATGTGTATTCATTCATCAGCAAATACAAATACAATGCATAATGTGCTGAGCACTGGGGATACAGCGTGAACAAGAGACAAAGCACTCGCTTCATGGGGCTTACATCGAAGAAATGCAATGTGCCAGAACAGGAATATTAGTAGTTTAGTGGTAGAATTCTTTTCTTTCATATGAGAGACCCAGGTTCAATTCCCAATCAATGCACCTCATACACACACACCACCCATCTGTCATTGGAAGCTTGTGTGTTGTTATGATGCTGAACTGTTTTCAGTGGAACTTGCAGACTCAGATGGACTAGGAAGAAAGGCCTGGTGCTCTACTTCTGGAAATCAGCCAACGAGAAGCCTGTGGATCACCACAGAACATTGTCCAATCCATAACAGATCATGCGGATCATGCAGGACCAGTCAGCATTTCATTTCATTGCACATGAGGTTGGCGTGAGTTGGGGCTGACTCAATAGCAGCTAACAACAACAACAGAACAGAAAAAGTACTTAAAACCAAAAGACCAAAGATCTAGTTCTTTCCCAGCCACTAATTCTCCGTGTGACTTGGGCAAGGTTCTTATTTCTCTAATTCCCTAGAGCCCCTCTCGCATCTTCTTCAATGCTCCATCTTCAACAGTAGTTGATTCTCCCCGTTTAAAGGAGTATAAAAGAAAAATAAAAGCTATTCCCTCCCATAGGTAGACTTGTTTGTTTTGGGTGTCTTAGAATAACAGCCTGCATACTTTAAACCAGGGGTTCTCAACCAGGGGTGATTTTATACCCCCCAACCTCCTCCAGGCAATGTAAGGAGCCCTGGTGGCACAGTGGTTAAGTGCTCAGCTGCTAACCAAAAGGTCAGTGGTTCAAACCCACCACTCACTCCACGCGAGAAAGTTGTATCAGTCTGCTTCCATAAAGATTACAGCCTTGGAAACCCTATGGGGCGGTTCTAGTCTGTCCTGTAGGATCACTATGAATTTGAATCAACTCGACGGCAATGGGTTTGGTTTGGTTTTGGTCCAGTTAATATCTGGCAATGACTGAAGACATTTTAGGTAATCACAACTTGGGGGTTACAACTGTCGCATGTAGTGGGTAGAGGCCAAGGATGATGCTAAACACCTGGCAGTGCATGTGACAGCCCCTTACAACAGAGTTTAAAAAAAAAAACAAAACCATTCCTGGCAAGTCAATTCTGACTCATAACACTATAGGACAGAGTAGAATTGCCCCATAGGGGTTTCCAAGGCTATAATCTTTATGGAAGCATACTGCCACATCTTTCTCTCACCAAACAGCTGGTGGGTTCGAACCACCGACCTTTTGGCTAGCAGCCAAGCACTCAACCACTGCACCACCAAGGCTCCTTACCCAGCCCAAAATATCTATAGTGCTGCTTTTAAAGCAGTGTTGGGAAACCCAGCTTTAAACCTTAAAAATATTTTATCATTTTCCCTCCCTTCTTCATCACACCCACTCAGAAGCCAAGACACTTGATTTCAAAACAAAGGCAGTCTAACCTTGGAAGTCAGATAATTACAAGGCTCATTCTATATTTCTGCAGAAATTACGTCATCCCTGTGGGTCTCTGTTTCCTCATCTGTATGGTGGGCCAGTGAACATCAGCTGGAGTTGTGAGGAGGAGCCGACCCAAGGGAAAAGCTCTCAGGCCAAGTCTATGACTCCTTATCACTCCAGTAGTGATTAACTCAGGATCTGTTAACCCCCTTTATTCTACTACTTTGAAAGACAGAACAGCTTTTATCTGGCCAAAGGACTCCCTTCTTGTTTGGGAAGCAGAATTTGTCAAGACACCTTTCTATGTTCTTCCTGAAGTCTCCACCACTGCTGTGATTACCACATTCTAATAATTGTCCTCTGCCTTCCTTTTTCCAGAAGTACATGTGGAACCTCATAAGAAGCAGCTGCATGTGACCCTGGCTTACCACTTTCAAGCTAGCCACCTACCCACCCTAGAGAAACTAGCCCAGAACATTGATGTCAAACTCGGGTGCGATTGGGTGGCCACCATATTCTCTCGGGATATCCGATTTGCTAACCATGAGGTAATGTCTCAGTGTGGCCCCTGACTCCATTGGGGTGCAGACTGAACACTCCCAGTCAGAACCAGGAGCACTTGCTGCCCGGTGCCGCAAGGAAATGAGTACCAAAGGGAAGCCATGAAGTGAATACCAAGAGTCAGTTGACCCAAGCTTTTGTCCAGGCTCTGCCTGACCCACTGGGAGGCTGTGGGCTCACATCCCTCCTCTCTGGCTCCCAAATGACTCATCTGTAGAACATTTGCATGGTTCTGTGCGTCCTGCCTTCCTTAAGAGAAGTATAGAAATGAAATGGGAAAATAGATAGAAAACTATGTTGGAAACTTTTAAATCAGTAATGTGTGAATTAGAAGACATCATCCTGACCTTAGGTGAGAAAAACATGTAAGTACCAACGTCCTGCAAGCATAGCATCAACAAAATATTTGTTGTATGTCTATTGTATACAAGGTACCGTGGAACTTACTTAGAACTTTAAAATGTGGTTCTGTTCTCAAGGAGTTTTGAGTTCAGCAGGGGAGAGAGGACAGACATAAAACAGTTATGGTAGAGTCGGTTCTGACTCATGGTGACCCCACATGTGTCAGAGTAGACCAGTGCTACATAGGGTTTTCAGTGGCTGATTTTTTGGAAGTAGATCTACAAGACTTTCTTCCAAGGCATCTTTGGGTGGATTCAAACCACCAACCTTACAGTAAGTAGCTGAGCACTTAACCATTTGCACCACCAGGGACTCCCGAGAATAGACATGCATGGAAAGCAAACACAGACCAAACGTTGTAAGAATTTGTGTGCATCACAGTGGGGGCAGGAGTGGAATGATGGAATCCCAGTGCAGATGCCAACAATGGAACGATCCCAGCATTTTTCTTCAAGGAATCAACACTACTTGCCAGGACAAGCATGTTCCCTCTTTGAAGAGTAACATTGTCCTTTTTTCCTGACGGAAAAGCTGAGACATCAAGGAGATAAAGTAAGCTGTTCCAAAGCTAAGTAGTCAGGACCAGAGTTGAAGCCAGAGCCCAGGTATTTTGATCAAGGAAGGCAGGCACCCATCTAAAAAAGACCACAACACAACCTATAGTTTAATTTAAAAAATTTGTCTTCCAAGGAGGCTACATTTATTAAATAAGATTTATATTTCTTTCCCAATTTTTCAACAGCAAAGGTATTGATATTTTTGTTCACAGAAACTTTTAAAATCTCCTTTAGAATGTTTTCTAACATGAAACAGTTAGAAGCTCAGGGTAGTAGGGTGACTGGTCTACACCAGGCCACCTCATCATAGTTTTGGAAGTGTTGGAAAGAGCTGGCTGTGAATCCAAGGTTCAGGGTTGGACGTAGGGCCTGGAGTGTTCGGACCTGCAGCTTAGTCTGACTCTGCTGATGGGAGTGTTCTGTCCCCCTTTTGACTCATTTGATCTAAGTTTCTGCAAAAACACAATACCTAGACTGGGCTGAATTCTGACATCCCCTGAATTTGCTTAGGACAAACCCTAAACATAGCAGAGAAGTGTAGCTGATTGGAAAGCTTTCACTCTTTCTGAGGGAAAAAGAAAAAAAAAATGTCAAAGTTTGCATGCAGACGGACTCTGAGAAGTCACCTTTCTAAGAGAAGGAAGACGACAGTGGAATTTTACAAGAAATATCCTCTAATCAACACTGCCCTCCAGTTAACACAAAGGGTAATTGCTTTTCTGCCTGACCCACATTCTGCTCAATTGACACAGAGGGAAAGAGGCAGCAAACACCCACACGAATTATTTTCTAAAAATAACTTGGCCTCTTTTATGTCTTATTTGTAAAAGCTCATTTATTACTATTCCTTCTGCTAAAGCTCTCCTCAGCCCCTTTGGAATAGACCTCTCTCCCTCTGAAGTCTTTTGGCATTACCTGCGCCCTCCTGACATATGTAAATGTCTCCTGCCTTCCTTCTTCCTTGCTGTGTCCCCAGGAGGCAGGCTTGATTGATTGTTCCAATGAGGTTGTCCAGAGAAGGAAAATGGTTTAGCCAAGAACATTTGGCCAGGCACCGTAATCCTTAGGAGGATTCATAAGTCTCATCCCTCTGCTGTTTAGACTACTTACTTGATTTGGATTTGCAAATGCCTATTTGTACTTTCTAGTCCCTGTGTGGTGCAAATGGTTAATGCCCTCAGCTACTAAGCAAAAAGTTGGTGGTTCAAGTCCACCCAGAGGCTCCCTGGAAGAGAGACCTGGTAATCTACTTCCAAAAAATCAGCCATTGAAAACGCTATGGAACAATTCTACTCTGACACACATGGCGTCACCATGAGTTGGAATGAACTCAACAGTAACTGGTACTGGTTTTAGGTAACAGGAGGCACGAGCTCTTCTCTGAAGTTACTTCAAGCTTCTTAAAGGAAAGGCAGTAATGGGCCAAAGGCATTACCAGCCAAGACTGTGCTGTGCTTGAGTATCTAAGGAACACGAGATTAGCCTTGTCTCCTAATGACTGGGACTCGGTGCCCCTCTCCACCCTGTTCCAAGGAAAGGAATGTTTTTTTGGTGGCTCATCACCTAACCAGCTTGGAGATTCAAGAGATTTCTAGTGAATTTTTTTTTCTTTCTTTAAGGTGTTTTAACAACCAGCAGAAAACCTTCTTGATTAGTTTGAAAAAGTGTTTAGTTTGGCAAGTATGTGTGTGGCCATGTGTATGTGACAGAGGAACAGGAGAAAGAGTGGGCCGACATTCAGAGAGCAATAACATATAGAACCAAAAGGTGCTAGAAGTAAGACTTAGGGAAAGGAACGGGTGCCCTAAACAAAAGGAAAATCAGAAATCTAGTGGGGCAAACAAGTTCTGTGACTTGTCCCTTCCACCCTCTAAGAAAAAAATCACATTTTACTGGCTCCTTTCCTTAGAGACTTCCAGAAGGAAATTTCTCTTTATAACATGTTCAGTGCACCACCTTGGTGTCATTGGCTCACGGCCTCCCCAGCACAGGGCCCAGGGGTCAGGCTTGGCTAAAAGGAAGCATTTGACCTGGGGAAATCGGGCAGCATGGCTCAGTAGAAATAATTAAGCCCCTTCTGTGTACAAAGGCTCTGCCCTAAAGAATTTTCTTAGATTGCCCCCCACCCCTTTCTTTTTAAGCCAGCTGTTATTTTACGGATAAAAAAACAGAGGCCAAGCAAAGTTAAAACTCTGAAGGTGGGAACCAGAATATTCAGCCTGCTGCTAATGGCTTTGGGGCTTCAGGAAACGCTGTTGAAGCACTCTGGTTGTAGCATCACCTGTTAAACAGGATAGAAATAATTTCCTTACCATTGAGGTCTCCTGCTATTAACATTGAAAAATGAGTAAAATAAGTGTGTTCTATAGTCTGGTCTGTGCCTCTGCGTATGGTATTTTTATAAACAGGAAAGGAAGGTATAAAATGGAACAAACCAGCCAAGTGGCATGGCCAATGGGGGTGGCCCTGGGGCTTTTTCTGAGCCCAGAGAAGGAGCATGTGGTCTCCAGCTGTTCTCTGATGAAAGCTAGTTGCACATGGATGCAGACACTGATGTCGATGAAAAGACATTTTTCTGTTGGGGTCTTTGTTTATTAGACCCTAAGATTTTGATAGCTTTAAAGAAAGCTCCTTGAAGGCAGGAGCCATGTCTTCTGTAAGCAGCTTAGTGACCTCGAGAGAGGAATGCTTCATCCCCAAGCCTTTCCTATAGGAGAGTCTCTCCATCTGGCCCCTCTGGAACTCCACATGGAGTACTGACTTTCCCTGAGCAGGTTTCAAGTGCCTTCCCCAGCAGATGGAGCAGGAGAAGCTGGATCCAAATCCAGTTGTACAGCAGTTTCCTGGAGGGCCTCCAGGTTTTTCAGATGGATCTCTAAAAACCGTATCTGAACCCCGATGGAAAGTAAAGACATGCCTAGAAGAAACTCTGGAACTATCCAGTAGCATCAGGCACACACCCACAGTATCCCAAAAAGAGAAGAAATGTTGCTGATCTGAATCCAGCTCTCCTCCGAGCCTGTAGACCCCACTGGCTCCTGTAAATGTCAACATCTGGGTGTGTAGACTGTTAATGCAGAACGCAGTCCTGCCCTGGAAGCACTCAGGAGCATGGGGCAGACTCAGCTTTCACTCATCCCTCTCTCCCTTTTGCAGACATTACAGGTGATCTACCCCTACACCCCCCAGAATGACGACGAGCTGGAGCTGGTCCCTGGGGACTTCATCTTCATGTCTCCGATGGAGCAGACCAGCACCAGTGAAGGCTGGATCTATGGCACATCCCTGACCACCGGCTATTCTGGGCTCCTGCCTGAGAATTACATCACCAAGGCTGACGAATGCAGCACCTGGATATTTCATGGGTAAGCAGACTCAAAGACCTGTGCCTACTGCTTTGTGCAGAACTACTATGGCAGACTCCTAGTAGGTGGTGGGGTCATGGATTTGATCCTGGACACACAGGACAGCAGTAACGGTCAATGGAGTCCATGGGGAAGAAGGCCCTATTTGTTCCAGACTTCCAGGACACAGCTGACTTGGGGCATGGGAAAAAGGAGTGGTGGGTCACTCTGCTGCACCCTGCCCACACCATTTGATGTAACCATCTGCCCGAGTTCCTGATCAAAGATGAAACCAAAGCTGCTTGGGGATCCATCCCTTCTGGCTGAAGTGGTGTCAACCCAGTGCTTCATTGTTTTAGGACATTGTCTTGGGCCATTGCTCAGGGTGGTCTGACTCCCCAGAGAAGCTAGGCAGATTATATGTATATGTGTGTGTGTGTGTATATATATATATATATATATATATATATATAAAATAATATACCAGTTGCCTTTGAGTTGATTCCAACTCATGGCAACCCCATGTGTGTTAGAGTAGAACTGTGCTCCGTAGGGTTTTTAATGGCTGATTTTTTGGAAGTAGAGCTCCAGGCCTTTCTTCCAAGTCACGTCTGAGTGGACTTGAACTGCCAACCTTTCTGTTAGCAGCTGAGCACTTTAACCATTTGTAACACTCAGGGACAGTATATAATAACAATATAATAATTATAATTTTATATATATATATATATATACATATATATATATATATATCAGCAGACCAGTAGTGAAAGGGCTTTCAAGGGTCATGAGACCTAACTGAATGTCTGACTTGCTAAATGACCCTCAGCAAGTCCTCAGACTTGGCACATGAATGCCTCGAAGAGTGGCTGTGTTATATGGCCAGCTTTATTCCAGAGGATAAAATAAGAACAAAAAGCAGCTTCTCTTTGCTAATCCGAGAAGCTCAAATACTAGCCCTTCCCTGGCACATGCGGGCATCTAGCCAGGGTACGCATGCTGGTTTGTTTTTCCTCCCTCTTGTCCTTACCATGTGCCAGCATGGCCAAGAGCCGGAAGCCCTAGGGCACCAGCTGCACGGTGGTTGACATTGTCATTACTTCCATCAAAGAGAAGTAGAGAGGAGTGATTTGAGCAAGTGTTTTGCCTGGAGAGAGAAAAGAAAGGAAGTACCCCTCCCCTGATTAGCAACAAGCAGACAAACGACAAATCCAAAGATAGTAAAGAACGCTTTCTTCCTTAATAACCCCCTACCCAGCAATTAATTCCTTCTCCGCCAGCCCACCTCCCACCCCCTGAACACCCAGCATTTTGTGGCACAAATTGGAGGGTCTTAGCTGACTCACGTCACCCAACCGTTTTCTTTTTCTGAAATGTTTCGAGATCAAAGTAAATAAGTTGGGTTTCCAAAGTCATCATTTTATCCCTATTTAAAAAAAAAAAAAGGCAAAGCAAAATATAAGTAATTAATAAAGAGAACTGAAAGGTGATTTGTCTGATGAAGCAGAGCTGCCAGATCTCTTTCTTGAAAGTAGGGCTAGATGTGGAAGAAGAGTATGTGGGAGAAGCCAAGCCTGCTGACCCACTTAAGATCACCCCATCTCAACCCACTCTTGCCTCAATTAGAGCTCAGGCTGCAGTAGGAGTGAACCTAAGTGACTACTCAGTGGACCACCGGAGGTCAGTGTGCCATCTCCTTGTATTTTGAGAGGTTACTAGTGATAGTATTTCCCTGGGAACCATGTCTGAAGTTAAACTATAAGTTGCCATGGCCAAGCTGGGTGAGAAGGGGAAATACTAACACCACTGTGACACTTCAGGAAGCATCATGGTTGTTCGCTGCTGTTGAGTTAGCTCCAACGCATGGCGACCCGGTGCACGATGGAACAAAATACTGACAGGTCCAAAATAATCAGTTGCGGATCGGACCATTGTCATCCATAGGTTTCCACTGGCTGCTATTTTGGAAGTAGATCACCAGGCCTTTCTTCTTTAATCTGGAAGTTTCACTGAAGCCTGCTCAGCATCATGACACACAAACCACCACGGAGAGACAGGTGGTGGCTGTGCATGCTGTGCGTAGGCTGGGAATTGTACCTGGGTCTCCCACATGGCAGGCAAGAATTCTACCACGGAACCACCAATCTCCCCAGGAAGCGTTATGAACTAGTAATTAGAATTTTGGGTTTTGATGTCTAAGACTCTTGGATGCAAATCCTAATTTTCCCATTTATTAGCTATGCGACCATGGCCAGGTTACATAATCTCTCTGAGCCTCAGTTTGCTCATCTATACAATGGAGCTAATAATTGCATTTATTTCATAGGGGTGTTGTGAAGACTGAAATGAAGTGCTTAGCTTTACATGGGTATATAACAGCACTGAATGTAGTGTAGTCATTAGCGTTATGGTTATTCTTTTTTCCTAACTCATGTTTTCCAGTCCTCCCTTACATGCTCTTAAGAACAAATACCTCTTCCACAAAAGTGATCCAGAAGTAGACTTTCCTGCTTAACTCCAGTGATGAAACTGTCTCAGGGGTCAGAGCCCAGCTCACCATAAGACAGACCTTCTCTTGCCTCTGGCCAAAGATAGAGATGGAGGAGATGGGGCCGGGGGGTACATTCAAGCATGACCTGGCTGACTTAGCAGGAAGTTGCAGGGGAGATTCAGGCAACAAGTAGGGACTTATGGGTCAATGACCCTTAATAACCCCTTCCTGCCCTGTGCTTGTCCGTTCTCTAAGTCCCTTTTAAGGAAATATTTTCTCAGCACCCTTACTGGAGTGTCTTGCCTGGTTTAGAGTATCTCTAGGTATTTGTCATTTGGTGAAGCCCTATTGTTCCTTGAAGTGAGGTGGGCTGGCCCCGTCCTTCTGGGCTAACCCACTGGCATAGTGCATTCTGGGGAGCTGCCACCATACCCCAGTGCTTGAGAAGCTTCTGGGTGTTGGTCTACCTCCTTCCCTGCACTGCTCTCAATATAAGGCATCTGACTATTGTCATATTGGAACTGACAGCCCCAAACTGTGTCAGAGTGACTCAGGTTCTTTCATTACAATGACAGTTAAGGAGCAAAGGAGGTTGGTATTCCCCTTGCCAAATGAGGTAAAGAAAGGAGAGAAGGGAGTCTATCAGTGCCTCCACAGCTGTGATAAAGTAAAGAATTAAGAGAGATGTACAAGCAAGATGTCAGAACAATTCCATATACTCAGACACTTCACCCATACACTGAAGCTTTGATGGAGCAGGCAGGAAGATGGAATTTTCTTTACCCATGTGATGCTGGGAGGGTCTCAGTTTAAAATAAAGGGCAGCAGCTGGTCGATTAGACTGTGTAGATGGCACAAGATTTCCTTGGGCTACAGTTGCTTAAATTCTTACCATAATGGTCTCATCTGGCTGCACATCAGACTTACTGATACAGCTTTATTAAAGTACAGGTTGCTGCCCTGCTGTGCATACACATACCCACTGAGTCACGGTAGTGGGGATCAGGGCCCAGGCACGTATGGGTTTTAGTGCTCCCCAGTGAGTCTGATGTACACAAGGGCTGAGATCGCTGTTTCAGAATGTGGGGCTCTAAATTACAGTAGGATGATGAGAGACATTTGGGAGTGAGAAGGATGCAAAAACTGTTAAAATCATATGATTTTTTTTTTTTTTTCTTTTTTTTTTTTTACTAACAACCAATTTGCTTTATTAGTGAATACAAAAATTGTCCTTTTCAAAAATAAGATTCTAATAGTAATATTTTGTTAAAAAATAAATAATCCAAAACAGGTGCTAAACTGAACAGATTGCTGTGTCAACAGGCACAAACCAGGATTGCACTGGGCAAACTGGGATGTAGGGTTACCCTATTTAAAAAAGCAAGAAAGCTAAAATTTAAATACACCCTCTTGACACTGCCCAGTGATGCAGGAGATGTTCATTGGATTTGCCTAATGACGAGTTTTGAATGGCAGTATTTATTAGGTTAAGCTTCTTGGAGGCCTCACTATTCAAAATAATTTAAACATGGCGTAAGTTGTCTCCCTACCTCTCAGCAACACCTCTTTCCGGCTTCTGTAGTTGTTGCAGGGCAGTGTTACACACAGAAATGTGACTTCTTGGCTCTCAGCTCTTCACATCTGGCAAGAATGGTTTCTTCTGAAATGGTTCTGTATTAATTCATCTTGCTAGAGTTGTTACTCAGGTGAAGTAGGGTTTGGAGACTGAAGAGGATAGAGTAGGGATAATGCCCATAAGGTTTCCTTGACCATTGAAAGCCACAGGCAAAGAGGTGAAGATAGTAAAACTCCTCCCTCTCATTCTTAAATTACCATGGAAAAGATTAAAGGCAAAAGGAATTTTTTATTTCTTTTCAACCAGAGAAATAGCTGGAAACAATGGTGCATAAATGGTACTGCATTACCCTATAACATATCTTTGGTGCCAACCATGCCTGTGACATTGTGACAAGCACAAAATTGTCAGGCTCCATTGCTGCCCAGAGGGATGAAAGCAATCTACCCCTAACTTATTGACTGCAAGCCTCTGGTATAAAACCAGATGTTCTTCCCACAAGATGTTTCTCCCAGGGAATGCAGTGTGCTCTGCCCAGCTTTCCTCACCATTCCACGACTGTGAGAATTTTTCACACCCCCTATTGAGCCCAAGGATGAAGTTCTAAGGTCCCCTGGCCAAAGCAGTTAACATCTTCCTTATCTTCCTCTGCAGTTCTTACTCAATCTTAAATACATCATCTTCTAACTCTCTCTCATTTGGTGATGGAATACTGGAGAGGCAGCAGTATGAAGATCAGGGACTGGGGGAGACGACTCCCCTCACTATCATCTGCCAGCCCATGCAGGTAAGGCTGCTCATTAGGGCCACATCCTCAACTCTGAGCACCTTTTATTAAATAGGAAGCATAACTCCTGCCATCCCCAAAGGGTCCTCTGTCTCTTGGGGAGACAGGACACAAGAATGCAAAAGATATACAGGAGTTCAAGGCTAGGAGGAGTCAGATGAGCGGCACTGACAATGAATTCTAGCTTTTGAGTCTAGGTTAATAAGAAAAGCTATTCCACAGAGAAAGGAGGACATTTCAACTATAAAGCAGAAAAAACATCCATAGGTTCTTGTGAAGATTAAAAGGAAATAATAAGAATAAGGCTCTTAGCACAGTACCTGGCATATAGTGAGTGCTCAACATGTGTTAGCTTTCCAAGAAAGTTGGAGATGGGAAGAGTAGGGGAGTAGTTGGTGAATAGTATAGTCAAAGACAAATAGAAAGTTCAAGCATATTGAGGATCAGAAGAGTCGACCACTTTGGCTGAACCCCAGAGTTGGTATCAGCAAACAAGAGAAGAAATGGGAAAAGACCAGGCCACCAATCCACATACTAACCTTGTCAAGAAAACTGAAAGCAAATGTAACGTGCTGGCTGCCATGAACCTGGCAGTGCTAAGGGAACTGGGAGTAGCTGACTCTATCAGACAGAAGGAATGTCGACAGAACTATAAAGATCCACCCATCAGTTACGGAAATCACAGTCCTCTGAACATGCCTTGACTAGACTTGCCTATTTCATCACCCATAGGTTGCAGTTGTCCTTTCTGAACCATTCCTGGGAATGCTAGCATGTATGTGGCCAGACAACAGTGCCTACACTGTGATTATAACAAGCAATACAGAACTCAGTTGCTGGAGGAGACCACTGGACTATGTGGTCTAACTACCACACGTTAGAGATGGTCTGGAGATACGCAAACTTCACAGATGAAGCAGACATATTTGTCATAATATTTATAATAAAAGAAATCCTTGCTCTCTCAAGAAGTTGATGAAGCATCCTTTTTGGGAAGGAAGCTGTCCCATTAGAAGGTTGTCTGCAGGTTAATGGCTAGTGTTACCTCTGAGCTGTAACTTAAGGGGTCTTCATGTTTCAGTATTGGCCAAATGCTATCTACTACAACAGCAATAATAAGACCATCTTTATAATCCTTCTTAGTTTGGAAAACACCTGCAGTGCATCACCTCATTTCAGCCTCAGAATGACTTATGAGGCCTGTAGGGTGAGTCTCACTATCCCCATTTTACAGATAGGCCAACTAAATCCCAGGTAGTTAAGGGGTGTGTCCAAGTCACACACTGGCAGAACTTGTACTAGAACTGAGCTCACTTGGCACCTGCCTCCAGGGTCTGTCTACTTTTCTATGTGTTTCCTCACTAATAGACTTTCTCATTCTGCAGCCTCTGAGAGTCAACAGCCAGCCTGGCCCTCAAAAGCGGTGCCTCTTTGTGTGTCGTCATGGTGAGAGAATGGATGTTGTATTTGGGAAGTACTGGCTATCACAGTGCTTTGATGCCAAAGGTGAGTAGCTGGCTGGCTTGCTCAGCACTGGCATACCAAGCGTGGCCTCTAGGGGCACAATTAAGCTGTATTTATCTAGATAGTCACTTATGGTTAAGTGTGCTGTGAACATCTCTGTAATCTGTTACATTGTCAATCTATCCTGAATGTCTTGAGTTTTAGGGGAGGGATAAGTGTTTTTGTCCCCATTCTATAAATTAGGACCAAGGAAGGCAGATCTCTTGTCACAGTTGAATGGCAGAGTCAGCAGAAGAGGCCGATGTCTGATTGCATGGCCAGAGTTCCTTCCATTAAATCACCCTGGCTCATTTTGATTCCATTTTCATTTGAGTAGCATGTTTAAGATAGGAGGCTTGCATATCAGAGAAGCCCACCTGCTTTAGAATGTCTGGTTGATACTTCCATTTAAAAACTATCTCTTGTCACTTTTGTCAACAGAATGGAACAGTGGATACCAAGACACTCTACCAAAGAAAGTGCCAGCCTCAATATTTTCCATCAGCCTCAGTCTCTTTAGCCAAGAAGGAATGGGATGCCAGGAGTCCTAAGGAAACAAGAAACTCATGTAGCCTTTATGTGACCTTTTTTTCCAGGCCGCTACATACGCACCAACCTGAACATGCCTCATAGCTTACCTCAGCGGAGTGGTGGTTTCCGGGAGTATGAGAAAGATGCCCCAATCACTGTGTTTGGATGTATGCAAGCAAGACTAGTGGGTAAGGGTCGTAGGGTGATGGCACAGCCTTTCCTAGCTATTTCTTCCAAAGACCAGTTCCAGTGGTATGCCAAGACACTTCCAGGGAGTTTCTATACCTTTCTACAAATAACATTTCCTCAGTTCATTTATTAGATAACTATTGAGTTGAGGATACTGTGCTTAGCACTGGGATGGTTAACCAAAGTGAAAAAGATGCAGTCCCTATCAAGAGGCTTATGATGCATTGATGAAAAAGGCCAGGCTTGGTTTACACTGGTGAGCAGACTGGTCAGCCTTCTAGTTCAAGATAGCAGCATCTGGCAACATAGCTGCAAAAAGAGCACAGTATGAAGAGAGAACCCTGGAGTGACTGAATTTATACAGGCCAATTGATGCTTTGAAGCTGCTCGGTTCTTAACAGGCCTATCCCATACCTGCCGTGCAAACAGCAGCCTTGTTCTGTTCAGTCACTTAACAAATATTTATTGATCAACGATTTTGTGCAAAGGGCAATTCTAGGTGTCAGGGATCCAAGCATGAGTCTCCACCTTCAGGGAGAAAAACATACAAATGGATAAATATCATATAATGTGGTATACTCAATAATAGAGCTATACACAGAGTACTGTTGGAGTACCAAAAAGGGGGGCAAATAAGAGAAGAGAGGAAGCTGAGACTGAAATGGTAGTTGGGCAAAGAAGGAGCAGGAGGGAGGAAAGGGAATTCTCAGTGGAAAGAACAATCTAAATAAAGTTGTAGAAGTGAGAAATAGCATTAAATGTACGGAAGGAAACAAGCTGTCTTGTTTCTAGAGCATAAATTGTGGAGCAGGGTAAGAGATGAGGCTGGAGAGGAGGATAAAGCCAAGTTCTTGACCACCACAGGAAGGTGTCTGGACTTTATCCAGTAGAGAAAGGAAATGGACACCATGAGAAATGCAATAAAGTATCAGGTGTTGGGAGTTATGTCTGGTGTCTAAGAACATGACAACTGAAATTTTGTTTAAAAAAAGAACAAAACCAAACTCCTTGCCATCAAGTCAATTCTGACTCATAGCGACCCTATAGGACAGAGTAGAACTGCCCCACAGTGTTTCCAAGGAGCGGCTGGTGGATTTGAACTGCCAACCTTTTGGTTAGCAACTGAGCTCTTGACTACTGAGCCACCAGGGCTCTGCGAAATTTTGTTTAGCACAGAAAAAAAATTAAAGTGTGCTCTAATTTTCACAGTATAAGCCCTCTCATTCTTTTCATAAAGCTCAAGTCAGAGCATTATGTCTCTAAGTCCCTCCTAGACAGACATTTTACTGCTTGGTAGCACGAGAGAGAAAGAAAGGAAAAGACAAGAAGGGGCCTGTCACTTGGCCACTTTCATAGAAACACTGATGGGGGGATTAGGTAGAAGCAAGGCTGAAACTACTGGCGCTGTGTGAATTCCCATCTGGGAAAGAAGGGTTTGCTGGGTCTGGCACCTCCTGCCACTTGAGGGTCGAGCTGAGGCTGAGTAAATCCAACGAATTCATTCTTTGGGTTTTCTCTGCAGGTGAGGCCTTATTAGAGAGTAACACCGTTATTGATCACGTCTATTGCTCCCCATCCCTGCGCTGTGTTCAGACAGCACACAACATCCTGAAAGGTAAGACTCTTAGGTCTTGACAAAGGTCAACCGAGTGTGTCTCTAGGCAGTTCTATACCTAAATTATCCTAGAGTCAGAGAACATTAGCCAATAGAACAGCTTTGAATCTGGAATGTTTCAGCAATGATTCTTCCAGAGAATGACTTTGCCAAGGTCCTAATATCATGCGCTGGCAGTATAAGCCAGATAAAACAGGAGATGCAGATAATTTTTTTCTTGAAAATTTAAAGCTCGCTTGGATGAATTGTAGGCTTGCAAAATATTGTTATATCTGGTGATAACTGAGACCAGCAGAGCATGATCCTTTTTTGCACTTGAACAGTTAAATTGTTTCCTCCTGCTTTGCCCTTTTGTTTGCCTCTTGTTTACAACAGTGATGGTGTTCCTAAGTGTCTGCAAAGACAAGTGTTTACATAACTAAAGAAGAAGTGTCATCCTTGCTTCTTTAGTTACATAATTGGAAAAGCTTGAAAAGCACCATTGCTATAAAGATACTTAACTTTCACGCTATAATCTGTGGAAGCTTGAGTTGCGGAGATTTCCGTTCTTATTTCACTGGAAGAAAACTGAAAGAAATTGAATTGGACTGTTTACTTCTATTTCAGAAATGTATGAGCCAGAAATAGAACAGCCAGCAAAGAATTTTACACTTTGAGTCTTCTATTCTTTAACCTTAAGTAAACCTTCTCTTCACTACCAGAGAGCATTGATGTATTAAATTTGTACAGAAAAACTTGGCTAAATGCAGTATAAAGAAAGTTAAACAGGGGGAGTCATTGTTTAGGAAGCAGTGAGTATCTGTTAATGGTGATGGAAAATTTGGCAATGGATACTGGTGATGGTTGCACAACATGACGAACGTAATTCATGTCACTGAATTGTACATGTAAAAAATGTTGAATTGGCAAATGTTGTATTATATATATTTTCACAACGATAAAAGGAAAAAGAGTTAAACAGGGACAGTTCTTACTGTGAGGGTAATTACAATACACTAAAACTTAGACTTTGGGCAGTGGTACTTGTAGATATTCAACACTGGATTTTCTGATAAGAAAATAATGTACATAAATTCAAATAAAATAAAAGCTATTGTAGAGAGTGACTGTTAAGAGAATTTCTGAAGTTTCCTGGTAGGATAGTGTCTTAGTCATCTACTGCTGCAACAACAGAAATACCACAAGTGGATGGCTTCACAATAAAGTAGGCTAAAAGTCCAAATTCAGGGCATCAGCTCCAGGGAAAGGCTTTGTCTGTCAGCCTTCTCATCAACGTTCCCCCAGAATAGGAGCTTCTCCGTGCAGGGATCCCGAGTCCAAAGAACACGCTCTGCTCCTGGCACTGCTTTCTTGGTAGTATGAGGTCCCCCTGTCTCTCTGCTCACTTCTCTCTTTTATATCTCAAGAGATTGCCTAAGGACACAATCCAATCATTAACATCATAGAGGAAGGATTTATAACATATAAGAAAATCACACAGTACCAAGAATCATGGCCCAGCCAAATTGACGTACACATTTTTGGGGGAACGTAATTCAATCCATGACAGATAGTCATGGAACTTACCTTAGAAAAATAAATTATGATAGTCACAGAACTGAATAAATCATATGGATAATGACCTGTGATTTTTTTCCTTAAATCAGATGCCACCTAAAGCTGGTATACAATATGGTGATATGGCCAGAGCATTAAATTCACATCGTATGTATGTGTAACACACACAAAGATTAAAAACCGTTGTTCAAAACTCACATGCTTCCACATTCCTTTAGCTGTAGATAGCATCTAGTAGAAAATGGAATAGCTCACCTCTCAGAATTTTTGAAACACTCGGCCTATAATTTATTTTCCACTGAGAACATTGTAGAATTTCCTTCATCTTCATTTTTTTTCTCTCTAAGGTTTACAACAAGAAAATCACTTGAAGATTCGTGTAGAGCCTGGCTTATTTGAGTGGACAAAATGGGTTGCTGGGACTATGTTACCCGCGTGGATACCTCCATCAGAGTTAGCTGCAGCCAACCTGAGTGTTGATACAACCTACAGGTAACCCTCTAAAACTGCCTCTGTCCTGAGGCTGATGTGGACATTCTTTTCTACACTATTTTCCAGCCCAGGCTAGTTAAGGCTTATCTCATAGGCAGTTGTCCATATTGGTGGAAGGCAAGCTGTAACTTGAGAAACTGAAACTGGAAAAAAGCCATCATTCACTGTAGTTAGCATTAGTGTGAATTATATTTTCCCACCACTGGATTTTATTGATTTTATTGTATGTATATCAATGTAATAATAAAACCACTTTGCATCACAGGAGCCTGTACCAGCTAACAGTAATGCAGTTCAGAAGCTTATTGGGAGATGAGTGAGATGACAATGTCTCACCTTGGATTGTCACTTTTAATTTAAAAGCATTTTAATTCTCTTTATTTTCTTCATTTATTATTGCCTCAACCCAACTATTTTCTGTATCTTAATTATGGTGGTGGTTACACAATGCTACACATGTGATAGAATTGCATAGAGTATATGTACGTACACACAAATGAATGCTTGTAAAGCTGGTGATGTCTGAGCAAGCCCTGTGGATTGTAACAGTGTCCATTTCTTGGTTATGCAAGATTTTATGAAAGATCCTACCATTGGGGAGGCTGGGTGAAGGGTACACAGCTCTTCCTTGTATGCTTTTTTGCAACCTCCTGTGAATCTGAAATTATTTTAAAATAAATGTTTAAAAAAAAAAAAGACATTAGGCTACCTTAACAATACAAAGCATTTTCAAAATATTTCTTGGCCAGTTGTCTCCTTCTTAAGAATGTTTTTCTCCCTCCCTGGGACACTTGGCTCCTAGTATTTACAAAGCTTGCCTATCAGTTCAATGGCTTGCCTAAAGTTATTCATTTAGTAGCCACTCATGACAATAATAACTAATCTTCATTGAGCCTTTTTTGTATGTGAAGTACTGTGTAGTCTGCTTTAGAGTCTTCTTTTTCCTTTGCTTTTGCTATTGGACCAGACTGTCTGCTCTGAGATTTAAAAAAAAAAAAAAAAGTTTATAAATTGGCCACAGGTGAATAATCCCCATGGACACATGAATAATTAGCTAATAATAATATGGTTAGATTAACTATCAGATATCCACTCGGGCATTTGTAAGGTGTCTTTGAGGAGAACAGATATTCACAACCATTATAGTGGGAAATTAAGTTCATGTTTCTTAGGGCAGAATTTGGAACATGTGACCAACATAAACAGAATTTTCTCCTGAATAATATTCCTTGAATTTCATTACCTACCCAAACCCCAGATGAAGCAATTTGAGTATCTGGCTAAGGTAGGAAAGAAAATCTTTTTTCCATATTCATTTTTCTTCTCTGCAAGTAAGACCTCCGATAACTCCATAAATTATCTAATGTCTACTGGAATGTGTAAGTTGGAAACAAAGAAGAAGGATCAGTAGTTGGAAAATACGGCCTTGGTGATAGAAACAATGCCAGAGATCGCATGATAGAATTTTGCAAGACCAATGATTTCTTCGTTGCAAATACCTTTATTCAACAACAAAAATGGTGACTATACATATGACCTCACTGGATGAAATACACAGGAATCAAATTGACTACATCTGTGGAAAGAAACAATGGAAAATATCATCAATCAGAACAAGGCCAGGGGCTGACTGTGGAACAGACCATCAGTTGCTCATATGCAAGTTCAAGTTGAAGCTGAAGAAAATTAGAACAAGTCCAGAAGAGCCAAAGTACGACCTTGAATATATCCTACCTGAATTTAGATACCATTTCAAGAATAGATTTGACGCATTGAATGCTAATGACCGAAGACCAGATGAGTTGTGGAATGATTTCAAGGCATGAAGAAAGCAAGAGGTCATTCAAAAGACAGGAAAGAAAAAAAAGACCAAAATGGATGTCAAAAGAGACTCTGAAACTTGTTCTTGAATGTCGAGTAGCTAAAACAAATGGAAGAAATGATGAAGTAAAAGAGCTGAAAAGAAGATTTCAAAGGGTGGCTCAAGAAGACGAAGTAAAGTATTATAATGACATGGGCGAAGACCTGGAGTTAGAAAACCAAAAGGGTTTTTCAGCATTTCTCAAGCTGAAAGACCTGAAGAAAAAATTCAAGGCTCAAGTTGCAGTATTGAAGGATTCTGTGGGCAAAATACTGAATGATGCAGGAAGCATCAAAAGAAGATGGAAGGAATACACAGAGTCACTGTACCAAAAAGAATTGGTTGATGTTCAGTTATTTCAGGAGGTAGCATATGAGCAAGAACATACGGTACTAAGAAAGAAGTCCAAGCTGCACTGAAGACATTGATGAAAAACAAGGCCCCAGGAATTAATGGAATACCAACTGGGATGTTTCAACAAATGGATGCAGTACTGGAAGTGCTCACTCATCTATGCCAAGAAATTTGGAAGACAGCTACTGGGCCAACTGACTGGAAGAGATCCATATTTATGCATATTCCAAAGAAAGGTGATTCAACCGAGTGCGGAAATTATCGAGTAATATCACATGAAAGTAAAATTTTGCTGAAGATCATTCAAAAGCAGTTGCAGCAGTACATCAGCAGGGAACTGCCAGGAATTCGAGCAGGATTCAGAAAAGGACGTGGAACCAGGGATATCATTGCTGATGTCAGCTGGATCTTGGCTGAAAGCAGAGAATACCAGAAAGACATTTACCTATGTTTTATTGACTATGCAAAGGCATGCAACTGTGTGGATTATAACAAATTGTGGACAACACTGCAAAGAACAGGAATTCCAGAGCACTTAATTGTGCTCATAAGGAACCTATACATAGACCAAGAGGCAGTCATTTGCTTAGAACAAGGGGATACTACATGGTTAAAAATCAAGAAAGGTGTGTGTCAGGGTTGTATCCTTTCACCATACTTATTCGATGTGTATGCTGAGCAAAATAATCTGAGAAGCTGGACTATATGAAGAAGAACAGGACATCAGGATTGGAGAAAGACTCATTGACAACCTGCATTATGCAGATGACACAACCTTCCTTGCCGAAAGTGAAGAGAACTTGAAGCGCTTACTGATGAAGATCAAAGTCTACAGCCTTCAGTATGGATTACACCTCAACATAAAGAAAACAAAAATCCTCACAATTGGACAATAAGCAGCATCATGATAAACAGAGAAAAGATTGAATTTGTCAAGTGTCCCCCAAAAAATATGTGTATCAATTTGAGTGGGCCATGATCCCCAGTATTGTTTGGTTGTCCTTCATTTTATGATTGTAATTTTATGTTAAAGAGGATTAGGGTGGGATTGTAATACCCCTACTAAGGTCACATCCCTGATCCAATGTAAAGGGAGTTTCCCTGGGGTGTGGCCTGCACCACCTTTTATCTCTCAGGAGATAAAAAGGAAAGGGAAGCTAGCAGAGAGGGGGCACCTCATACCACCAAGAAAGCAGTGCCTAGAGCAGAACGTGTCCTTTGGACCTGAGGTTCCTGCACTGAGATGCTCTCAGACCAAGGGAAGACTGATGACAAGGACCTTCCTCCAGAGCCGAGAAGAGAAAGGCTTCCCCTGGAGCTGATGCCTTCAATTTGGACTTGTAGCCTACTAGACAGTGGAGAATAAATTTCTCTTTGTTAAAGCCATCCACTTGTGGTATTTCTGTTATGGCAGCACTAGATGACCAAGACAGGGGTGATTTGCAATTACGAATTAACTCCCAATCCATTAGACAGAGGGGACTGGGAATTGAAGATGGTCAGCAGGTCACCAGGACGGGTCCTTAAGAAGGGCTCATCCTCTTATGAACCTTTGTACATTGTCTTCTAATGATTGTTTACCTGAACAGCCTGACACCACCCTCACCCCAACACACAGAAGCTCTTCAAGCACAGAAATTGGGTTTTCTTTATCTTCAGGCCTCTAGCCTTCTCCCAGGGCAGGTATGTGGTCTGTGTTCAAAATAAGAAAGAAAGAAAAGGCAAAGAATCGTGAAGATTTCATAAGCTTATAAAAGACTGAATGTCTGCTTCTAAAACCTACGCTTATAGCATAGCATGTGTATGGCGACTTAAGAGAGGCTTGGGAAATCTCTGGTGGCCTAAATAGATAAGGAGATCTGCTTTGCTTCCTGTAGCTATGCGACCTAGAACAAGTCTAAGACGTGGGAGCTGTCAATAACCACTGGTCAATAAGATTAGTTAAGAAATTTGTATGTTTCATTTTTCAGGGGGTCACTGTGACATCATGGACACACAGCTTTTGTCTCTGTACATTTCAACTCCACATCCATGTCCTGGAAATAATCTTTCCTGTACCCACCTTCTTACTAGGGAATAGACAAACAGAATCATGGATACTGTAGAAGGGTCTTGAAATAAAAGTTTAGAGTAATAATTATCATTTGGTTTATCCCAGGATCAAAATGTTTTCATTCCCTTTGTTCATTTTTCTATTTTCTATTACAGACCTCACATTCCAGTCAGCAAATTGGTGGTTTCAGAATCCTACGACACTTACATCAGTAGAAGTTTCCAAGTAACAAAAGAAATAATCAGTGAATGTAAAAGTAAAGGTAGGTAGTATTTTTTTGGACTCCACATCTAACTATATAATAATTTCTCCATCATGGTCAGTAAGCAATTCAAGATGTTTCCACTTGCTTTGTTAGACTTGCTTAATAGGAAAGAAAAGTCTCTTCAGATTCTCTTATAGATACTTTCGTGTTAAATTTGTAATATTTTCTCAGTACCTAAAAAAAAAAAAACAGTTACCATTGAGTCAACTGTGACTCATGGCAAACCTCATGTGTATCAGAGTAGAACTGTGCTCCATAGGGTTGGCAATGGCTGATTTTTCAGGAGTAGATCAAAAATGTCAGATAATTTCACAGGTATACACCGGACTTGGTTACGACCCTATACTATGTAACTTTGACTTCAACATTGCAGCTATTCATCTTGCATCCTGTGAAGGAGGTTCCCTATTTCAATTTTTAGAAGCTCTCTAGCATAACACTGTTTCTCCTGCAGTTTGATCCAGATGTATGGGAACCTACATGCAAACATACGTACACAAGCACACATACCATTCACTGCTACCGCCAACCAAGAACAGTGTTCTGTGAGGCTCAGATCTGTCATCTGTTGAAGTTTCTAAACATTGAATGCAAATATTTAATGATAAGAAGGATGGTTCACTGTTCACCAGTGATTCCTTGGAAACCCTATGGGGCAGTTCTACTCTGTCCTGTAGGGTCGTTATGAGTCAGAATCAACTTGATGGCAACGGGTTTGGTTTTGGTTTAGGACTGTTTACTGTAAATTTTTAAGTAAAAAAGGCGGATTTTACAAAAGAGAATGCACATTTTAATATCTTATTTTTTAACTTAAAGTATTAATATTCATAGAACAAAGACTAGAATGATATACACCAAAGTGTTAACAGTGGTTAGTCCTGGGCAGCGGCATTGTGGGTAATTTCTCCCTTCTGGTTACCACACATAAGTCACTCTCTTCATCACTACCCCACGCTTCCCACCATAAAGATACATAGCATGTCCTATCAATCAGAAAGCTCAAATGCTCAAAACTCTATAGTGGCAACATTTAAAAGTATACTAGAAGAGGTAGCACCACCATCCATCTGTCAGTTTGTCATACTGTAGTGGCTTGTCTGCTGCTATGATGCTGGAAGCTACACCACTGGTATTTCAAACACCATCAGGGTCACCCATGGTGGACAAGTTTAAGCAGAGTTTCTAGACTAAGACAGACTAGGAAGAAAGGCCTGACCATCTCTTCCAAAAATTAGTCAATGAATCACAATAGAATATAGTCCAATATAGTGCTGGAAGATGAATCCCCTAGGTTGGAAGGCACTCAGAATACATAGTGGCTGCAACAATGGACTCAGGTATACCAAGGATCATGAAGATGGCACCAAACCAGGCAATATTTGTTTCATTCTTTCTACATGAGGTTACCATGAGTCAGAGCCAACTTGACAGCAACTGACAACAACAACAAGCACAAAGGAACCCTGTGGAGATAGAATAGTTCAGTATCTTGATTGTGGTGGTGGTTACACAAAGCCACAAATATGATAGAACTATATACCCACATACATACATAAAACTATATACCCACATACATACAAATGAATGCTTGTGAAACTAGTGAAGCCTGAGCAAGCTCTGTGGCTTGTACCAACGTCCATTTACTGGTTTTGATAGTGTTCCACAGGTATGTAAGATGTTACCATTGAGGAGGCTGGGTGAAGGGTACAGGGGACTTCCCTATGTTTTTGTTTTTGTTTTGTTTTGTTTTGTTTGCACCATCCTATGAATCTATATTTTAGGATAAAAAGTAAAAAAATAAAATAAAAGATGTTAGGTTACCTTAACAATACCAAGCTTTTTCAAAATATTGCTTGGCCAGATTGTCTCCTTCTTGAGAATCTTCTCCCCTTCCTGGAACACTTGGCTTCCAGTATTTACAAAGTTTGCATATGTCTTTATAAAAACTTTCTTCACAGTTCTTGCTTCCCCTCCCCCGCCCCAACTAGGAAATAACATCCTGATTGTGGCCCACGCATCTTCCCTCGAAGCATGTACCTGCCAACTTCAGGGTCTGTCGCCTCAGAACTCCAAGGACTTTGTACAAATGGTCCGAAAGGTAACTCATACTTGCATTAAAGGGGCCCGGTGTGCCTCGTAGTTTTGTAACAGTTCAATGACTGGCTGGATAGGAAAGTTCTTTGAAGCATGCATTTACTATAAGCTGGAAGATTCATTCATTGATTCGTTCATCCAAGATATCTGGAATGATACTTTGTGTGAAGCATTTTATTGGGTCCGGGTAAGAGAAAAAGTTGTGTCAGAGCTAGCTCCTAGCTTCTAAGAGCTAAAATTTAGGAAGTCACTAAGAATTAGAAGCAGATGGTCTGAATTTCCCAGAGCAATGCTGGATTGGATAGAGAGGGGTAAGTGGGCCAAAACACAGCATCTGAAAGCTCATTGAGAAGAGAGGTCCTGGCAGGTAGGCCAAAGGAAGCAGCAGTTTACAGCGATTGGGCTAAAAGGCAACCCCAGGAACAAGGCAGTGAGACAGAAAACCCATGAGGCTGATGGACACATCTGGGCTGCTCCTCTCGTGCCTGTGGACGAGGGTTTCTGGTTGCCGCCCTCCCACACACTTCCCTCCAGATCCAGGCTGTTCTTCCTTTCTCTGCCCTCAGAGAACCTGGCTCAAACTCAGTTGCAATTCCTTTCTCATTTTTTAAAAGCTTATTTATGTGTCTGTCCTTCCCATCCATGAGTAAGCTGCTTGAGGACCGAGATTTTGGTCTTGTTTATGAATGCAACTCAGGGGTCTCACTAAATACACACAAAAGAAATTTTGAAATGCCCTCACTCCTGAAATTAGGAAGGGTGCAGCTTCAGCTCTGAAAGAGAGCAGAGTCGTGTACAAAAAAAGATGACAAAGCAGAAGTGAATCAAATTTTTAAAACTTGAATAATCTTTCCATTGTCTAAGTATAATTTCAGAAATGTTGGTGCTGCCACATTTTTTAACTTGACTTGCAATTAGGAGTTAACTCCCAAGCCCTTAGCATTCCACATTATTGTTCTCTTTTCCCACACCCTATTAAGAAGCAATCTATAAACAATTAATTGCACTAGGGGAGATCACCATTTCCTGGATCTTTCTGAAGAATCTTCTTGCAATGTAAAAACTCTTCCTTCTAATTTATTGGTTTTGTCTGTTTCATTTTCTTTATTGATTTTTGAAGATGATGCATATCTACCGAGGTCCTATTCATGTCTAAGTGTTATTCTCTAGGGCCACCTGAATGTCTTTGTTGTCTAGGTCAAAGTTAAAGCATTTTATTTTCCTTTTCTTTTCTGCAGATTCCATACTTGGGGTTTTGTTCCTGTGAAGAATTCGGAGAAACTGGGATATGGCAGCTAACAGATCCACCCATCCTTCCTCTTACCCATGGACCAACTGGAGGCTTCAACTGGAGAGAGACTTTACTACAAGAATAAGCCACATGAGTGAACGAGAAGAAAAGACCTTTAAAAGCCTTTGGAGAAGTGTCTTTTTTTTGAGTTTAGTAACAGTGGGAAAATCCACAGCACATTCTAAGCACACAGCTCAGAATAATTTAGCGTATCTCCTTTCATGCTTAAAGTTAGTATGATGAGACCGTGTGAATGAAAGAAAGACTTGCTTCAGGGATGAAATTCTCTCTGGACTCTCGCCTAGCTAACAAGGCTTTGGAGAATGATCTTCCTAAATCAGGCACCTACAACAGCAGAGGAAGTTTTGCCTCCTTCCTTCTAGGTATGGCTAAGGAGCCTCACCCCTCCAAAGCAAACTGCCAGCCCACCCTGAGGAAGGCTGCAAGCGTAAAGAGTCTGCCCAGAATCCAGCTGGGGGACTTTGAGCTGCCAGTTTGGGGTTGGGATTTTCTGTTTTAACTTCATTTTTCAATTAGGCAAAGCAAAGCTGAGGAATCCTTTTAAGGTTATTAGAAAATATGCCCCCACAGAGAGTAGTTGTTAGGTTACTCATTACATTCTACCCTCAATATGACCCCTACACCAGTGTTGCTGGCTCAAGACCCCTGTTTGAGGGCTCTAACATTTACCTGGTACCACCATGTTTTCTCTAGAGCAGCTGGCCCTCCCTGCTATAGCCCTTCCTGCTTTATTTCTATCTGTGAAATGGGAAGACCAAGAATTGCTCTCCAGAGCACTTTTGGATACTCAGGAGGACCATAAGAAGTATTCACTTGTAAAAGTGTTACACTTGTAATTGTGAAGTATCCAATTGCAGACACAAAGAACTTGCACAGTATAATGCCGCTTGGAATTATCTGTGTTGTAGTCTAATGAGCCAGAGCACTTCTAAATCACCGTGATTTGCTTGTCTTTGTCCCTAGAGTCTAGACTGTGTTTAACTAGTTTATGATGTTGACATTTGGAAGGGATGTATGTTAGATATTATATTTGCATCAGCAAGAAGTACATTCTGTGCAATATGTACATCTTTACAAACCATACCAGGTGTCAGGTGGTTGTACACTTCTAGTACATGTCTAACATAACCAAACATCAACAAATACATCAGTTATACCAGGGGTGTATCATGAAGTCAGGGAACTAATTTAAATGATGACACTCACGACTGCACTGCGACCTGTGCTGTCGTGTTCTTTGTTTGTTTTTCTACGATAATTTAAAATATGTAGGTAGGGCTTCTTAAGGAAAAGTAGGAGAACCACATCCTGTGGTTTCTCAACCCACATGCTTCCTACATTTAGAGGGAGTTTATTTAAAAGAAAATAAATGACAATCAAACCAAAAACATCAGTTATCAATGTCTTTTTAATTGTGTGACTAGCTTACTGTTGAGTGCTGCCAATTCACAAACAATGCGTCTGGAATGGTATAGTTCACTATGTAGAATATGTATGCAGAGTGAAATCCCAGCCATGTAAAGAGGACATGAGTTAGTGTACAACAAATCTATAAGCATTGTGGCATTGAATAGGCTTCAAGCCCCAGATGCATAAAACATATGGTTCCTAAAAATAGGTCTATGCTCCTATTTGAAACTGGAATTTGATAGCCCCTGGAAACAAGGGGGAAGTGATAGGATGCTGGCTATGCATGTTAATCAGCAAGAGGACTACAGTCTTGCTTCTTATTAAGTAACTTAGAAAAATGTCATGAATTTTATGTTTTAAGAAAAACATCTTGAGTTCTTTTAGCATTGCAGAAATACTCATCCAACTTCTGGGTATAGAAATAATCTTGCAAAGACATCATTCATTGACATAAATGTTTTACCTTTAACCTTATGGGGAGGGGATCTACTTACTTCATAAAGGTTTTCAGAGAAAAGTCATACGGCAGCTAATATAATGTCACTGCCGTTCATTCTTATGGTTGCTATTGCTGTTAGGTGCCGTCAAGTCAGTTCCAACTCATAGCAACCCTATGTACAACAAAACAAAGTGCTGTGTGGCCCTGAAACGAAGTAAATTCACTGTTTAATCAGATCTATCATGTTTATTAGAAATTCTCCCTAAAATTTTATGGGCTTAGAATGGTTGAAATAATGCTTGAATACCTCTCATCAGATTTCCTTGAAAACTATAGCAGTGGGTTTTGGGCTGTGCCTCTATTTGTATAAAACAGAGTTCAGAAAAGGCTACCCTGTCCGTCTCGCTCGGTTGTCTCAGTCCTGTGATGACCTTCTAAATTAGTTTGGCTGGGCTACGATCCTTTGTCCTTAGTCCAATATAGACACAGTCTTTAGGTTGTAATCTGTACAAGCAAAAAGAAGCAGAGATCTGAAATAATATTTGAAGAAGTTAGGTGGAAAACCCTGATGTACGAGAGTTCATTCCTCTGCTTTAACTGTCTGAATTACTTATCAAAATGGCCTGGATGATCTGAATTCACAGTATATTCTTATTTCATACTTATCTGTTTAGGAAACTAAACTTGGACTCCAGCTGAGAAAATCTTTGGAAATTGTGTTGAATTTATGTGTAGTAAAAGAAACAACAGCATTACCTGATTTCCTATTCATCCCAAAATTTAAGGTTGATACAACAGTCTGAAGTAGAGGCTAGTTGTTTTTCATCTGTGGCTGGATGCTTATTAAAAACAAATAGGGTTGAAAAAAAAAAAAAGAACAAATAGGGGTTAGAAGGAGGAAGGAAAGAAGAGAGGGAAGGAGGGAGGGAAAAAGTAGCATCTATCTAGCCAGATAAGAACCAAGTGATTTCTTGCAGAGAGGAATTTTTTTTTTTTTTTTTTTAATGTAGAAAGTTATCTGAAATGAACTAGGTGAAATGAAATTAACTACAAGATTTAATCTGGGGTTGACGGTCTGCAACCGTTTCCTACTTGTATAAGTATGCCACATGGATACCCTAATGCCCCGGTATTATTCACAGATAGGACTTTGTCTTCCGTGATTTTAAAATGCCACATCTATTCCTCTGTGGGTGGAATAATTGGCACATTTTAATGCACAAGCTGAGGTTTCATTTTCCCAGGGTGTCTACACCACCACTGCTCTGGTAGCTAGGAGCTTATTGCTTCAACCCAGTACGGGGTTGAGAATACAGTGTTTTCCATTACATTTAGATTCATAGAATCTGAATGGCTGATTAAATGGCCATCTGATGGCTGAAAGAGGGGGGTATTTTTCACCCTGTAGTGAAAGACTTGGAGGACTTTCTAGTCTTTATTTTAATTATACTTTAACCAAAGAATTATTTTAAGATAACCTTATATTTGAAAGATGATTTTACAAAAAATAAAAATAAAAAACACAGTCTTCTGGAGTGATGTTGGTTTGGTAAATATCATTGATAATTTTCTCACATTTTAGGCCGATGTGCTCATTTTTGTGTAAGTGGTATATGGAATGCATACTGACTGTCATCTAATTGTGCTTAGCATTATCATAAATGTGTCTTTTCCTCACAACCAGCTGTATTCGTATTAAAATGAAACCTCTTATTTCAATCACCTAGTGTCACTGGCAACTAATTGAACAGCTATAGTCAGAGAAGATCCTGTCTCACTGCCTTTGTAGAAAGGCTCCCTGCATGGTAAAACAGGAAGGCATTCCTGTGTAACCTAGGCACTCTGCAACTCCAGCGTATAATTTAAAAGCAGTGATGAATTGCTCTTTTGAATTTACGCTAAGAAATGCAGGGGTTAGAATACAGATGAACCTCCACTGATTGCCCCGGCATCAGCACAGTCAAGGCAGTACAGAGTCTGCAGGAACTTCTAAAATAATGAGGAGCAAGATGCAGGGTCATTTGCATTTAAATTGTAGTCCAGCACACATGTGAGAAATAACCGAGGTGCTGGGCTAACTGGCTGCTTCTGGGGAGTCCTGCGACTGGCAGAGGAGGGTGGGGAAAAGAGCGATTTCACATCTATTTAGATTAACGCTCCCTCTACAAAGGTGATGGGGGATATTTTGTTAGGTGAGGGCAGATGCTTTCCACGTTTAAACACTGGATCAAAACTGGATGTGCTTCTCTTTAATACTTAAACTTATTGAATTTTCCTAGGGAAGCAACAAGCTATAATGAAAATTCTAGGGAAAGGGAAAAAAAAAGATTGCCTCTAAATGCAGAGGAGATAAATACATATAAGGTGACGTTCAGTGTATGTTGGTTTAAGATTATAGTGATGAGTACTGAAACTTAATATAGAATCAGTTCTTACAAATATTTTACATGCTACCACTTAGTTGCCATTACTCACACACACAAAACTGCATTTCACAGCTGTTCAAATATTCATGGACTCTCTAAAGATACATATGTATACTGGAAAAGTGAACTGGTTCTTTCTTTCTTTGATTGCCAATCAAGACGGGAACACTATCCCAAAGCATTTTGGTAGACCATTCTAATCCTGATGTTTTTGGAGGTGTATTGGTTTCTTTCTAATTTATAAAGCTATTGTGTCGTTCTTTTCCCCATGTGATTCAGGTGTATTTATGTAAGGAAAAAGGTTTATAATTATATTAAAAAAAAAAAAGAAAACCACACCTAACTGCATTGCCAAATCCCCTGTAAACTACCTGTGTCGTTTGTGCTTTCCTGGCAGAGGGCTCTTTGGTCTAGATACAGCTATGGCAGTACTGTCATGAGTTCATTCCACTCAGTGACCTTCTCTGTTTAAGTGGTTCATAGATGAGCTAATAAAGAGAACCTGTGTCCTCAGTCAATCCACAGCAATCTACTATTAAATTCTGAGTGGTCTTTATTGTTAAAATAAAATCAATGTTAAGCCAATAATAGAAATTGAAGTTTATTTACTATGATTTGCAATTCAGGCAACACTTTTGACTTAAAGAATCAAGAAATACTCCAGAGAAGAAAGATCTTTTACGGACTTTTCATACCCCAGCTTATCACAAGTAAATTATACATTCCCATGGAAACAGGGCCAGAATAGGGGTTGTAAAATAACTTGTGGACATGCAGAATTCTATGCAACATTTCTTGAAAAACAAATAATCAATGGTTTACCTTAAAGCATAGCTTCTCATTTAACCTTTGAGTCATGTTGTCAATTCCATTATGTAGAGATAATTTCTTCAAAAGATCAGAATGCTTATGTGCAACCAAACACTTCATGGGATCTGGTTCCTTGGTTTGGAGATTTAGGGTCATAGTTTCATGGGACAACCCAGTTAGTTGGCCTAATAACATGTTTAGTGTTTCTCTTCTACCTCCTAGTTTGTTGCATAGTGCCTGGCATTTTAAAAGCTTGCAAGTGACCATTCAAGGTACAACAATTGGTTTCTATTCACCTGGACAAACAGAGGAAGAAAGAGAACCAGAAACAGGAGGAGAAAGTGGAATGTGTGGCTACTTGCCTTCATGAACAATTGCCACCTTTGCTATGAGACCAGAAGAACTGGATGGTGCCCGGCTACCATTACTGAACATTTTGATCAAAGATTCTATAGAAGAATCCTGATCAAAAAGGGAGAAAATGCAGAACAGAATTCAAAATTCTAATGGACTCCAGATTTCCTGGAGCCATGAAGGTTGGATAAACCCCCGAAACTATTGCCCTGAGATAATCTCTAAACCTTAAACCAAAAATACCCCCTGGACCATGGTCTTGGGGAACATCTAGCTCAATTGGTATAACATAGTTTATAAAGAAAATGTTCTCTGCATTCTACCTTGGTCAGTAGTGTCTGGGGTCTTAAAAGCCTGTGAGCAGCCATCTAAGATATTCCACTGGCCTCACCCCTTTGGGAGCAAGGGAGAATGAAGAAAACAGGATACAAGGGAAAGATTAGTCCAAAGGACGAATGGACCACAACCACGGCCTCCACCAGACTGAGTCCAGTATAGCTAGATGGTGCCCGGCTACCACCACTGACTGCTCTGACAGGGATCATGACAGAGGATCCCGGACAGAGCTGGAGAAAAATGTAGAACAAAATTCTAACACACACAAAAAAAGACCAGACTTACTGGCCTGATAGAGACTAGAGAAACCCAAGAGTATGGCCCCCAGACACCCTTTAGCTCAGTAATGAAGTTACTCCCGAGGTTCAGCCTTCATCCAAAGATTAGACAGGCCCAAAAACAAAACGAGACTAAAGTGGCACACCAGCCCAGGGGCAAGGACTAGAAGGCAGGCGGGGATAGGAAAGTTGGTAATAGGGAACCCAAGCTCAAGAAGGGGGAGTGTTGACATGTCATGGGGTTGTTAACCAATGTCATAAAACAATATGTGTACTAACTGTTTAATGAGAAACTGTTTGTTCTGTAAACCTTCATCTGAAAGTACAATAAAAAATAAAATAAAATAAAAAAATACCCCTGAATTCATCATAAAACCGAACAATAGTTTAGCTTAACTAGTAAAAACTGTCTGCCTTGAGCATTATGCTTTTTTTAAGAACTATCTATATGTGATCAAATTGACAACAGCAACTCGAAAGATTAGATAGGAACCTTAGGGGACAGTGAGTGTATACAAATGAGGGAGGAACAGCTCAGAAAAGGAGGGTGAGAATGGTTGCACAACTCAAAGAATGTGATCAAGGTCAGTAAATGGTACATGTAGAAACTGTTGAATTGGTGTATGTTTTGCTGTGTATATTCTCAACAACAACAAAATAAATAAAATTTAAGAGAAAAAAAAAAGATCACAATGCTGAAGGCAAACGTCCTTTACTAATTAAGCTAAACTATTGTCTGACTTAAAGATGAATTTCATCTCTGACTCATAGTGACCCTAGGGTTTTCAATGGCTGATTTTTAAGAAGTAGGTCAGCAGGCCTTTCTTCCAAGATGCCTCTGGATGGACTTGAACCTCCTCCAAACTTTCAGTTAGCAGCCCAGTGCATTCACTGTTTGCACCATCCAGGAACTTTGTGAAGCTAATAGGTGTGAAAATAAACCTTCCATGTAAATGTATGCCCAGGACATAAATGCAGATTTTCATTCATACAGCTGGCTCCTGGCCTGGCGGGATTTACTTCCTGAGGAAACGTAACAGCTAGCACTCATAGCTGACAAAGACCAAGCTACGTTTAGCCATGTAGCTGGCTCTCAGCTGTGCTCTGCTTGACAGACTCCCAAACTCATTTTGCCCTTTGGTGATGTATGTGCGTGTGATTTTTAAAGGCTGCTGGCACATCCAGAGAAATGAATTAGTATACTTTGAATTTGTTCACGTTTAAATCAGCAGAATGCCATTTTTTGGAAAATCATTTGAGGACCAAAAAGCAGTCTTCCTACTGAAGATACAGAGCACTTCATTTTGGCAGAAATAAACAAGTAAAACCCAGATGGCCCGCTCCTGTCCATGAAAAGATGCCATGGTTTATTTAACTTGCCAGTTGCCATTGTGTTTGCCACACTGGGGCAAAGTGTTAGCTCCACCATTCAAGGTGCTTCTGAGGCAGCCCAGAGGGTGTGCACATTGCCAGAGAAGAACTTCATGTACCGGGTAAGAAGCTCTAATTCCAGAGTCAGATAGAGCTGGGTTGTGATCTTGGCTCACGTGCTTACCAGCTAGGTGGGTTTGGGCAGGTCCCTTAAACTCATCTTACCTGTAAAATGGGCATAACGGTGATTTGTTGTAGCATGGTTATGAGAATAAAATGGGATCATGAATATACAATTCCTAATCAAAAACAAAACACCAAACCAGTTGCTGTCAAGTCATTTCTGACTACTGGAGATCCCACATGTTACAGAGTAGAATTGAGCTCCATAGGA